GGTGGATTTTCACAAAATTCGAACTCAGCCGTCCTTGGGGTGTAACAGTGATATAATAATACGTTTTTTTAAATCGGATAAAATTATGACCTCTATAGGGTCCACAAGTTAAAAACGCAATTTTTCGTACAATCAGGGGCCATAATTAAGGAAGTTACGGTCAGATATGCGCAAATATCGAAAGGAACCGAGATCTTTGGGTTATAAACTAACATTTCAATTTTCAACAAAATCGGATAAAAGTTGTGACCTCTATAGGGTCCACAAGCTAAAAACGTGATTTTCATACAATCAGGGGCCATAATCCATGAAGTTTCGATCCGTTACATGCCAATATCGAAAGCAGCCGAGATCATTTGGGGATAAACCTATATTTCAAGTTATATTTGATTTTTAAGTGTTATTAAAGTCACCTAATGAAACTGACGAAGAAACAAATGACAAAATGAAATGAAGTTCACATTCATCGATTTATTCCAAATGATCGTTAGACTAAGTAAGGCACAGACTGACCATTATAAGGGTAAAATGATACCCGGGGTCAAACAGCAAAGTTACCACAGCATCACAACCAAGTCAGTAACGGGTAAATCCTCCTCTGTTTGCCAAACAAGCATTGATCCGACGTGGCATACTCCTAATGAGACGTCTAAGGTCATTTTGGTCCAGATTGTCCCATTCCTGTTGCAACGCAGCAGCAAGTTCTTGGACATTGGCAGGACGTTGTTGACGTTGACGTAACCTCTGTCCAAGCATGTCCCAAACATGCTCGATGGGGGAGAGGTCGGGACTCAGTGCTGGCCAAGGTAATGTGGTGATGTTCTGTTGTTGGAGGTAACCTGTAACGATCCTGGCCCTGTGACATCTTGCGTTGTCATCCTGGAAGATGAAACGGCGGCCATGACGTCGTGCGAACGGCACAACATGGACTGCCAAGATGTTGTCCCAGTAGTACTGGCCTGTAACACGCCCTGCAACAACATGTAAAGCCGTTCTTCCAGCAACAGTGATGCCTCCCCACACCATAACAGAACCACCCCCAAATCGATCATGTCTGATGACGTTAACGTCTTGGAAGCGCTCGTTTCGACGACGCCACACCCTCCTACGTCTGTCCAAAAAATCAACAGTGAACCTTGACTCATCTGAAAACATCACATTGCTCCAGCGTCGATTATCCCAGTGTTGACGATCCCTACACCAACGACGTCTTGCCTGAATGTGATGATCTCTCAAACAAGGGATCACGCGAGGACGTCGGGCGCGAAGGTGACCCCTATGCAGTCGATTCCGAATCGTCTGGCCACTCACTCTCACACCAGTGTCTGTTTGAAGACGAGCGCTGATCTGATTTGCTGTGATGACACGATTTCTCAAGGCCAAGGTACGGATAAATCGATCCTGGGCTTGAGTTGTCGCCCTTGGTCGACCTGAGCGTGGTCTGTCCTGTACAGATTGTGTATCACGGTATCTGGACCATAGCCTGCTTATGACAGACTGAGAAACATTCATCGTCCGCGCCACAACCGCCTGTGTTGTGCCGATCTGTAGCATGCCAAGGGCACGTAACCTTTCATTTTGGGTAAGCCGACGCATATCAAAATTTGTTTTCTGGTCACTAAAACAATTAAACTGATGTTTCCACCCTGGAATTCAATGCCACAATGACTGTAACATTCAAAGTCAGAGTCGTGCAAATCTTGGGTTGGACCCCCATGATGATCCCAAGCATCACCTGCATTCCATGCGGTAGCTATTGGTGCGTTTGGGCGTCACATGTAACTGGAAATGTTTCTTCTGTTAGGTTCTATAGTGACTTTTTTCGTAGTCATTTGCATATTTTAGTATAATGCCCCCAAAATCAAATATCCCCTACTTTTTTTGAATAGTATATTTTGAAATCTAATTATGACTTGCAAAGACTTTTTGAATTACCGGTATTTCAAAAGTTATGAAGAAAAATTAAATGACCAATACTTTTATATCCAATAATGTTATGCCTCTTTTATGTAGCAGTATTATGTATCTGCAAACCTTATGGCTTCAGACAAGTATGTAGGGAGTATTGTTGAGTGGGAAAATTTCTCAAAATCTACCGATCTTACCTCAAGTATTTGTGAATCTCAGAGAAAAGCAATTATCAAGTCTTTTATTTGTTTTTTTCAGAAATATTCAAGTTCCTATAGATCTTTTGACAGACAAATTCCATTTTAAAGACAAAGGAATGAAAAAATACTACTATATAGCATTCGACGTGTGTTTATCTTCATAATTGTTCCTTATATCGTGTGTTATTGTAATTGGTTTCTTGTGTGTGTTGTCTTTACAACTGTTATCCTGTTTAAATCTGCCGAGGCCGGTTCCAAGCCTGAGCTTTCAAAGGAGGAGGGTTGAGAGTAGGGCTACAAAAACCTACTACGTAAAAAAACATTTTGTTGCTGAAAAAAGCACCAAAATAAACAGTAAAACTAAAGGATATATTGTAAATACTTAAGTGAACATATAAGTAAAATATTCATTAGTGTAATGCTTTGATTCAGCACTATTTATACAGCACAATTTTTTATTGCACTTTATAGTTACATGTTTGTAATATTAGTTTGCTAGTGGATTTGTAAAATCTGTTGGTTTTCTTGTTTGGGAAGGGAAAAAATCACGGCTCAATATTAACTTCATCCTTAATTTTACAAGAGTCAGTATCATTAATAAAATGCAGTAATAGAATGACTGTTATTATAAATATTTTGAGTTGACAGACAAAAATGGAATTTAAAACGAATATGTTTCTTGGTATGTTCACTGAGCAACCAAAGATGATCAGTTTTGTACAAATTAGTCAGAACCTTCAAAAAAATTTTGTCAAATTAATCACATTTGTGGTCTAAGGGGAGTGAACTCATGTACGATTACCTCCCTTTGCTAAATTGCTAATGCAACATTGCATAACCTTTCTATCACAGAAAATACTTATAAACATGATACTTTTTGATTTTTTTTTTGAATCCTTAGTTATATTTGCCTGGTCTGTTATTACTGCCTGGTCTGTTATTACTGTAATGGTTGTAAAAGTGCAAATGTGTTATTTTTGAATTGCTGTTTAGATTTGCTTCAGTTTGATATGTTGGATGATGACATTTGTTCAATTTTATTTTTTTGGTTTGCGATAAAATAGTTTGTTGACGCTGGAGGCTGCCATCTTGGAATTGTGGCAGCCATCTTGGATTTCAAAATGGCCAATATCGTTACGATTTCAACAATATTACGCGTTTTTTGTTTTTATTTTATTCAAAATGGCCAACATCGTTGTCGACCAATGGTTTTATTTTCGTCATACTTTAGAGTGTCGATTGGGCGTGCGTTGTGCCAATTTTCAGCAAGATCGGATATTTTGTCCAGGTATTATGCATAATTATGTGCTTCTGATCCATTGTTAATTCCTGAATTTTGTGCCATTGACCCCTGTGACCTTTCAGTCTATTTTCAATTGCTTGAGACTTTCTCTATAAGAGTCTATATAAAATTTTAGACAAAAAGTACCCCGATTCACCGAACATAAATGTTCATATCTTGGCTTCTAATAAAGATTAAAGGAGCTAAATCGCTAACATTTGGGACCTAGAAATTCACAAAAGTGGGTCGCAACGCATATAATACTGTAATATGAATGTATATAAACTGATTTACATTTAATGGTTTCCGTTTTTACTCCAATTTCAAATCAGTTATGTTTGGCGAAATAAGTCAGCAATCTCAATCGAGTGCAAATTTCTAGCGTCTAGTTATTCTAGTCTACATAACTCCATTTGATTTGGTGCAATGTGTCTAGCCTTGTTCCTCAAGTCTCTCAATACAACTGGGGCTGAAGTGCATTATGGTACACGATTCGTGTACCAATGTTAAAAAAATTATTTTATCTTAAATATCGGATATCAGAAGCTCATCTTTTCCCGGTAAGTTTACATCATCAATGTTGATTTAAATTGACCAATAATTCGTGTTTTCGATGTCGAAGATTTTGGAGGATTTTGAGTTACGGACTTAGGTCCTTTAAGATATCTTCAATCTGTAAACAGTTTTATGCTATTTAAATGTAGCTTTATCAAATAGGCTTATTTGTAAATAAATCCATTAATAAATCGATTTTGCATTCATAGCCCTATCTATAGGGTCCACAAGCTAAAAACAGGATTTTTCGTACAAAAAGGGGCCATAATCCATGAAGTTTCGATCCGATACATGCCAATATCGAAAGCAGACGAGATCTTTTGGAGATAAACCTATATTTCAAGTTTTGTCAAAATCGGATAAGAATTGTGACCTGTAAGAGTGTCCACAAACAAATTGTGGACGGACAGGGGCGACAGCACAATACGTCGACATGAAAATGTGGGCGTATAAAAAAAGTTTAATTATATGGACGTGATGTGCTAAAACAAAGATAGTTTTCAAAATTTGAAGTCTTGACGGTTTTAGTGTATATATTCAGGGCCCTTAATGGCCTTATTCAAGAAAACTTAAAATAAGATACAATCGAAATTTTAAGAAATACTGCAATTCGATTGGCTGACCAATATGCAAATTGGATATGCAAATTGATTTTACTGGTCAGCCAATCGAATTGCAGTATTTCTTAAAATTTCGATTGTATCTTAGTTTAAGTTTTCGTGAATAAGGGCCATGGTATCTCTGTGAGACTTTGTGATTTCCCACGTTTTGTTTATCCTGTACGGCTGTAGCTGCGCAGTGCTAGGCCTAAATAATTGCTGAATGGTATATTTGCTTCATATTTTCCAAAGTTGATTTTCATCCATTTTGTATTGTTCAGTATCATCTCAAGCACGTTTATTATTAGACACCAAAATAAAGGCACTAAAGGTGTTGTGAATGATTTTTGTCTTGAGGACCCCCCCCCCCCATTTCAGGTGTTGTGACAGGTCACAGAGTACTACTACTAGAACTTAGTAGAAGAGAGATGCAAAAGTAGAAACACTTTGACTTACATCTGTTCGAAACATTACCATCTTCTTCAAGTTCAATACCGAACGTTTCAAATTCTTCCATCAATTCATCATCGGTAATATTCGACATTTCAATTGATAATCGACAATGAATTATATAACAAGGAGAAAACGCTGGGCTATATTTAATCCTGCGTTAGATTTTCCTTTTAATTTCTCCGTTCCCGCTAAAATACTGTGCAATCGGACTCTGGTTCGGTTAATTCCGTAGGACACGTGACTAAACAATCCGGGCACCTGCCAAAGTATATTGAATACACACAGAGAGGACGCGTGCAGCATTAATCACATCTACTCTTATGTCATTTAAAAAAAAATAAAATAAAAATAAAGTTTTATATTACCCAAACTATGAAAACAAAGCTGATTCAACTTAAATCATAGATGTAACTATTACAATATCTACAATTTTCGTCTGCTAGCTTGTGGCATGCACTTTTATTAGGGTTATAAAGGTCATCCCAAGATTCAACAGTACGTTCTAAATTCCACAATGTTGAACTGATAAACAATTGAAAATTAATTTAAGGAATATCACTTCTATCCAAAGCCTCAAATCGATGCTTGACATTTTAAAAATGAGCACAAGATGGTAGGATACAATATCACAAGTTTATAACATACAAAACCAACATAACCACTGCTAAAAAATAGACGTACCGTCCTGAAAAAGGTAATCCTTTTTGATCGGTAGCAGACGAGTCGCCCAAGAAGACGAAAATGGCGACTCAAAGACAAAAGGAAAAGACATCAAAAAAGAATTTAAGAGAGCGTACAAAAAACGGTAATGAACGCGAATTACTGTACTTTTTAGAGTAGCTTTCAAACAGAATATGTTCTGGGTTGAAGACAGCAAAACTGGTGGTTGAAAATGGCATGTGAAGCAACACGTCGGCTGCTACGATACAACGCAAGCGACAACATTGTATCAAAATGTTGAAGTTTTGATATGTATTGTTTTAATAATGCTTGGTTACTTTCACAACAATGGTAGTTATATACAGTGGGGGATATTCTCATATATAACAGTCGATATAGACATCGAGACTGTTATCCGGGCAGTATTGTCGACTTAGCTTTCAATGTTTTCGTGACAGACGATGCAAAAATGGCGGACCAGACAGGGAGCTGTAACTTTTCGGCGCGAATCTCTGTGTGCTACTTCATGGCGCCAACAGTTCAGTACTAGTCGCGTTCCACAGTAAATTGCATTAGATTTGTACACCTTCATTTATTATGCCTAACTTTATTTGATTTTATAATTAAAAGATAATTTAAATAACTAAATATTATTTGGTATATCGTGAACGCGCATTCGTTGATATAAACCACGTGGTATAATGTAACGTACAGCAGCAACACATGGGTATCTTCGGCTGGTTATTAACGAGCATATTTTCGGTTGAATTATATCAATACACAAAAGTTATCTTTCATGACATTGTTAAAACAGAGCAACATCTACAAATTAGTAACTATAAGCTTAATTATATATCAATTTATATACCCCAATTGTCAATTTTCCCTGGCCGTAGCATAGAAACTTGAAAGAACGCAAACTTCACAATACTTTTTGGACAAATCAACAGAGGCGCCAGAAAATCGTTTAAAAATAAAAAAAATAATTAAGCAGGGGCGAAATAAGTATTATGTCAAGTCTATAATAATGTTCGTGTCCGTAATGGACATTATCAAATTCAGGGACAAATATAACTCATCTGATACTGGTAATAATTTCAAATTGACTTTAGAAAATTATAGAGGTTTTTATTTTTTTAAATTTTTTTGTCAACTATGCCGACCGGAGTGGGATGTATGGTTTTGTAAAAAAAAATTTAGCTGACGATCATTCTGTTTGCAAAATAGAATACTAGTCGTATTTGCCCTTTATTTTACAATGTTCTTAAAACCTTTGTTGAATTGGCACCCTAATGATCTTCTGAATTTGAATAGTTTTTCCCCTAGCTTTCCATATGTTTCGTATAATAAGATAGTCTTGTAGTTATCATTTGCTTTTACAAGGTTTGTTGACTTGCTGTGCTTGCAATCTTTTAAATTTGTATATTTTTATCATATCTATCTATAACATTTCATATAGGCCCATCAGTCAGCCAGCAAACAATCAGTAGATTGGTTTAGTGTGACTGATTTCCAACTGACTTTGTACTGAAATTAGCTTTGTGAGGAGATAGCTTATAGTGTGAATGATTTCAGTGTACTAAAAGCTCCCTTTTAAATGAATATTAAAAAAATATAACTTTTTATTTAGTTTATGATAAATAGGTTAAACTAAGGTAAGGATTGTCATACGGTACATATTATGATGGCATGCTTATTGATAAATTTGGATATTTTTCTTATCATAGTTCACTGTACCATTATATTCTACTATGATATCCCCACAATGATTTATCAAAATTTTATCACAAGTCCTTGCAAACTGAATAAAAGACAAAATATGATACCCATGAACTTCTGTTAATATAAAGAAGATTATTATAGATATATTTTCTGTCAACATTGAATTTTATCGGTTGCTTAAAGATACATAATGTAAGATTTAGATAAAGAGCTGACCATTCTTGCTATAATAGCTCAAAAATAGATAATTAATTTAAAATGAAAATATTGAAAATTTCATTCAAATTACTTCATTCTGAGTTAAGTTATCACTGTTTGTAGTTTTGGCAAGATGTGTGCATTGTGGTAACCAGGGTACTGGTATATTCGAGACTTAGCCTCGCTTTGCCATTTTTTAATAAAATTTTTAAATGGCGAACCGTTCTAATCTAGTTATAATATTGAGTATCCTATGCCATCGAGAGTTGATTATGGTCTTGTTTTGTTAATAATGTATAATTGATAGTTTAAAGAAAGGAAAGACCTGCAATAGGCAGATTTAGCTCTTGCATAATATGTGTTTAACCCACCATAGATAAAGGTATCTACAGCATCTTTTTAACTGATCGACTGATTAAATTTACTGCTTATATAGTCCTTATATAAAAGTTCCTTACTTAAAGATACTTTACCAGAAAAGTATTTACCGGGTGGTTATTTCTAATAAAAGTATGTCAAATTTGGTATACATGTATATGGAAAGTATAGACACCCAATCTTACTAGAAAAATACTGGATTACCCGAAAAACGCCCATGGGGCAAGCACTGGGCAAAATTGTCAGGGTATCAATAACTAGCAACCCGACTGTTATCTGCCAGCTTATTGTGTACCAGCTTAAGTGAGGGAGCGGTTGTTATTTCTTGGTCAAATAGTTAGGTGGTTTTGGAAACATTGAGAGGTGTCAATGTACAAAGACTCAGCAAATAAACAGCGGAAAACGAAGTTGACAGAAATAATTAAGAATTTAGGAAACAGGAAAAGGGTACGGCAACACTCCCTTTACTTAGAGAGTAATTAAAGCTGGACAGGCTGATACATCTGCGTGGAGACTGGATCAAAAGATGATACCGGCGGGGCGGAGTAGTAAAATAAAATTAAAGAATCCCCGCTCAACAGGATACACAACAGACGTGTAGAAGTTGAAGATCGTTTAATGGGTCGACACCACCCGAAATGTCGACCCATTAAACGATCTGCTACTTCTACAAGTCAATTAAGAATTTACTAAGGCCTCCAACAATGAAACTAAGTTGACAGACATTGCATCTAACAACAGCTTACTTATAGCTATAGGTATCCCCAGGGAATACCAAGTTTTGAGTGGGAATTGAAGCAAATTTTTGATAGATTGGTTACTTTGAATGTTTTTAGTCCAAATATATCATCAATTCACAAAGTTTGTATGCGGGAATGTATCTTTAAACATACATTATGCAAGAGCTAAATCTGCCTATTGCAGGTCTTTCTTTAGGCATGAAATGTTATCTAAATTATTAATTAAACATTAATTAACTTATCCAGGCCATAATCAACTCTCGATGGCATCGGATTTCTCCGATATTAAATAGATTAGAACAGTTCAACCGTATTTTGATTTAAGCTAAAAATGGAGGAGCGAGAGTTAGCTTCGAACAACCAGTGTAGTTATTTTTATACGCCCACATTTTCATGTGGACGTATATTGTCGTCGCCCCTGTCCGTCCGTCCACAATTGTTTGTGAACAGTCTACAGGTCACAATTTTTATCGGATTTCAATGAAACTTGAAATATAGGTTTATCACCCTAGGATCTCGGTTCCTTTCGATATTGGCATGTATCGGACTGTAACTTCATGGATTATGGCCCCTGATTTTACGAAAAATCACGTTTTTAGCTTGTGAACACTGTAGAGGTCACAATTTTTATCCGATATGGTTTAAACTTGAAATGTATGCTAATAACCCAAAGATCTCGGTTCCTTTCGATATTCGCGCATATCGGACTGTAACTTCCTGAATTATGGCCCCTGATTGTACGAAAAATCACGTTTTTAGCTTGTGGACCCTATATAGGTCATAATTTTTTATCTGATTTAAAAAAACGTATTATTATATCACCATTACACCCTAAGGACGGCCGAGTTTGAATTTCGTGAAAATCGGACCAAAAATGACTGACAAAATGGCCGCCCTTTGTTCTCAAATAGCGTAAAAATATGGTATGTCAAGGTTGTGGACCCTATAGAGGTCAACAATTTTTATCCGATTTTGTTGAAACTTGAAATGTAAGTTTATAACCCAAAGATCTCGGTTCCTTTCGATATTCGCATATATCGGACCGTAACTTCCTGAATTATGGACGACTGATTGTACGAAAAATCGAGTTTTTAGCTTGTGGACCCTATAGAGGTCATAATTTTTATCCGATTTAAAAAGCTGTATTATTATTTCACCGTTACACCCTAAGGACGGCTGTATTCGAATTTCGTGAAAATCGGCCCAAAACTGACAGACAAAATGGCTGCTCCTCGTTCTCAAATAGCGTAAAAATATGGTATATCAAGGTTGTGGACCCTATAGAGGTCACAATTTTTATCCGATTTGTTGAAACTTGAAATGTAAGTTTATAACCCACAGATCTTGGTTCCTTTCGATATTTGCACATATCGAATTGTAATTTCCTGAATTATGGCCCTTGATTGTAGGAAAAATCACTTTCTTTTTAGCTCGTTCTCTATCCATCTCTCGAAAATGTGGGCGTATCCTGCCTGGCAGCCGCTGGTTTATATAAGTTTCAGTTGATTTCATAAAATAATTTCTGAAGATTTTACAATGAGAATAGATAGTGAAATGAAGACAATAAAATTTAAATTTTGCAATAATTGTCCCCCGCCTTTCGAAGAAAGCAGGGGACTATTAAAATGGGTTCGTCCGTCTGTCTGTCCGTCTGTCCGTCCGTCTGTCTGTCCGTCACACTTTTTGGGACACAATAACTCTCTTCCTAATTGAGCTAGAATGTTCAAACTTGGTGTATGTGTTTATTAGGTCAATGCCTTGATGGAGTTCGAAGATGAGCATTTTCCGCTTAGGGTAAGCAGAGATAAGCAATTTGATTGGTTGATGCTTTGGGACACGATAACTCTCTTCCTAATTGGGCTAGAATGTTCAAACTTGGTGTATGTGTTGATTAGGTCAATGCCTTGATGGAGTTCGAAGATGAGCATTTTCCGCTTAGGGTAAGCAGAGATAAGCAATTTGATTGGTTGATGCTTTGGGACACGATAACTTTTAATTGAGCTAGAATGTTCAAACTTGGTGTATGTGTTTATTAGGTCAATGCCTTGATGGAGTTCGAAGATGAGCATTTTCTGCTTAGGCTAAGCAGAGATAAGCAATTTGATTGGTTGATACTTTGGGGCACGATAACTCTCTTCCTAATTGAGCTAGAATGTTCAAACTTGGTGTATGTGTTGATTAGGTCAATGCCTTGATGGAGTTCGAAGATGAGCATTTTCCGCTTAGGGTAAGCAGAGATAAGCAATTTGATTGGTTGATGCTTTGGGACACGATAACTTTAGTTCTAATTAAGTGAGATTGATGAAACTTGATGTATAGTTTCATTACAGTAATACCTTGACTAAGTTTGATAATGAGCATTTTCTGCTCAGGGTAAGCAGCAATTTGATTGGTTGATACTTTGGGGCACGATAACTCTCTTCCTAATTGAGCTAGAATGTTCAAACTTGGTGTATGTGTTGATTAGGTCAATGCCTTGATGGAGTTCGAAGATGAGCATTTTCCGCTTAGGGTAAGCAGAGATAAGCAATTTGATTGGTTGATGCTTTGGGACACGATAACTTTAGTTCTAATTAAGTGAGATTGATGAAACGTGGTGTATAGTTTCATTACAGTAATACCTTGACTAAGTTTGATAATGAGCATTTTCTGCTCAGGGTAAGCAGAGCGATACGCAATTTGATTGGTCGAGACTTTGGAAAACAATAACTCTCCTACTTTGATTGTTAGACTATAAGTAAAGATATACTGTTTGATTGTTCAATACTTTGTAAAAGATAATTTGTGATAAATTTATATGTGTCCTCTAATTATTTTCCTATTTCGGCGGGGGACATCAGCCTCACTGTTTGGCTTGTTATATGTATATTCTTGATTTGGCAGTACAAATTGAAATGGGTTTAACATCCTACGATCGTGCTCAGACTGAGCTAATGAAGACGGGCATACGCAATACAGTGTGCTATATGGGCAATTTTTGCTATTATAATCTTATATTCTTGATTTTGCCAGTACGAAATGAAATGGGTTTAACGTCCTCAGATCGAGCTAATGAAGACGGACATACACCATACAGTGTGCTATGAGGGAAATTTTGCCTGAACAGCGGCACTAAAGCAACTTTTTATTTCAAGTTCCACCTTTCAAGGGTTCTTTTACATGCATGTGCACACAGGACCTCAGTATTTCATCCCATCCAAACAACAGTGCGCTGTCCCTTGTCATTATCTCTGTTCGGCACCTCTGACAAGGGGGATTCTCAGTCAACACCAGGATCGAACACATCGCCAAGTTAATAGGCTCTATGCAAACTACAATATTGTGAAAGATGAATCTCTAATAGGAATGTCATTCCAAAATAGTTCAATTTCGTTCAGTATTTACAAACATATAACAAATTGAAAATTCCATTGATCTGTACTACTCCCTATTTAACAAGATGGCCACCATCTTTATTTGCCCATGAACCAAATTGATGTGCATATTTTAAATCGGATTGAATCTAAGCTGGTAGTTTATTAAACATTGGTATTTGTTTTCATAAACATGCTTATGCAAGAGCTAAATATGCCTGTTGCAGGTCTTTCTTTAGGCCTGAAATGTTATATAAACTATTAATTAGACATTTATTAACATGACAATACTATAATCAACTCTCGATACCATCGTATACATGTATCTGCGATATTAAGTAGATTAGAACAGTTCAGCCATGTCCTGATTTCATTTAAAAATGGAGAAGTTTGGCTTAGCTTCGAACAACCAGTACAGTGGTGGCAATTAATGCACACATCTTGTCAAACCTTCAAAGGCTAATATCTTCACTCACAGTAGAGTAATTCGAATGAAATTTTCAATATATTCATTTTGCATTATCTATTTTCGAACTATAATAGCAAGAATGGCTAACTCTTTATCTAAATCTTACATACTGTATCTTTAAGTAAATGTTTAATAATCTGAGTACATATTAGCTTCTGTGAATTGCTAACTTCCTATTTGGGTGTTGCAATGCTTTTCAATTATTTGTTTAAGGAAATACTGTGCGTAAAGATACAAAAGGCAGTCTTCAGAGAAAACATGATCCATACGAAAGTGATAATGACAGTCAAAGTCCATACATGTCCCTTGATGTACTTGCTCAGGTGGCCACAGCTACATTGGAAAAAGAACCCCGGTTTGAAAGTAAGATGCCCAAAAAGGTAAATTAAAAGCTGATTAAACAATGTCAAAGTATTAATACATGTAAATAAGCCCTTCATCTTCTTGAATGTGTATGAGATATTAGAATACAGAGAACTGTTGAGTTAATAAAAGTAGTTTTATGAATGTTACTTGGCATATTTCGATCTGTTCTTTCAATATACTGAATATCAACTCATGCCAATGTACATTGTCTTTTAGAATATATATTTTTAGAATAGAGAAACCAAGGAAGCATCTATTTTAATATGTTAAATAGTCTGTTGCTCATTCCCAATGCAAATTTTAAGTAACATCTGTAATATTTAAATGCATTTTAATACATTATTTATATGCCACACTTCAACAAAAAGTTTACTCTAGTTATTCATCAAAATCTTTGTAAAACTGCCTTATTTGTATCCTTTTATTATATGACTACAGTTCTATTTGATGTGTTGATTTATATCATTGATGTACAATCTATTACTAACTGCTGAAATAAACTCAAAGATAGTTCAATTCCTTTGTCTGATTAATCTTTGTACAACCAATGGGTCAAATGATATTAATATACATCATGAGAGTTAAATCCCTTGCGTCACATTTAACGGAACTATGAAATGATCGATTACTGGTATATTCAATAGTAATTATTTTGCTTGTTTTACAGCTGACCAAACGGAGTATTCAATCTTTGGAAGTTTTAAATCTAGACCAGATACAGGCTTTATCTGATAAAGCTGTAATTAGTTTATTTGCTGACATTAGCTCAAATGAAATGACAAAAAACTTCACTTTCAAATGTTATTTGATGCCTGAGAAGTGCAAAGAGACATACACAAGTTTTGGAAATGAAAGTCGTGCCAGAGCCAAGATGAGGGACCATCTGTTAAGTCATATTGCCAGATTAATAGATGAGGCAAATGGTAATTGTTTTTTATACGCCCACATGGAAATGTGGTCGTATATTGCCGTCGCCCCGTCCGTCTGTCCATCGTCCACAATTTCTTGTGAACACTCTACAGACTATATTTATCAACCGATTGTTTTGAAATTGATATATGTTGTTTGTATTAGTGAGACAAAGAAGCCTATTTAATTTCAATAACTTCCGTTAATTTCTTCTGGAGTTATGGCCCTTGTTTCACTTTGTTGAATCTTGTGAACGCTCTAATGACAAAAATTATCAACCGATCTGTATGAAATTGATATGCATCATTTAAATTAGTGAAATGAAGAAGCCTATTGAATTTCAGCAGTTTCCGTTCATTTCTTCTTGAGTTATGGCCCTTGTTTCACTTTGTTGCACCTTGTGAACGTTCTAACGACAAAAGTTATCAACCGATCTGTATGAAATTTATATGCATCATTTAAATTAGTAAAACAAAGAAGCCTATCGAATTTCAGCAATTTCCGTTAATTACATCTAGAGTTATGGCCCGTGTTTCACTTTGTTGAATCTTGTGAACACTCTAATGACAACAGTTATCATCCGATCTGTTTGAAATTGATATGCATCATTTAAATTAGTGAAATGAAGAAGCTTATTGAATTTCAGCAATTTCCGTTAATTATGCCGTGAGTTATGGCCCTTGTTTCACTTTGTTTTACCTTGTGAATGCTCTAACGACAAAAGTTATTATCCGATCTGTATGAAATTTATATGTATCACTTAAATTAGTAAAACGAACAAGACTATTGAGTTTCAGCAATTTCCGTTAATTACATCTAGAGTTATGGCCCTTGTTTCACTTTGTTGAATCTTGTGAACGCTCTAATGACAACAGTTATCATCCGATCTGTTTAAAATTGATATGCATCATTTAGATTAATGAAATGAAGAAGGGTATTGAATTTCAGCAATTTACGTTAATTACGCCGTGAGTTATGGCCCTTGTTTCACTTTGTTTTACCTTGTGAATGCTCTAACGACAAAAGTTATTATCCGATCTGTATGAAATTTATATGTATTATTTAAATTAGTAAAACGAACAAGCCTATTGAGTTTCAGCAAATTTATGTTAATTACATCTTGATTTACTTTGTTGAACTTTGAACGTTCGAACGACAAAAGTTATCATCCGATCTGTATGAAATTTATATGCATTATTTGAATTAGTAAAACGAAAAAGCCTGTGGAATTTGAACAATTTCTGTAGATTACTTCCAGAGTTATGGCCCTAATTACCTACAAAAGAATAAATATGTGACAACCCTTGTCGACTGCTCGGACGAGTTAGCTGCTGTGGGCGTATGTTTAGTTGCCTGGCAACCTATCTTTATTCCCTTTTCTTCTTAGCTGCCCATCTTAATTTTCTGAAACATGAGCTTATAAAAGATGGGATTGACTAACTTGACTTTGTAAAATTTATTTGCAGTCAACTTATACAGACAGAGGTCAGTGCTTATAGCTTTCAAAAAACCCTAGATACTTTCAATCAGCTACTTTAAAGTACACATAAGATGGGCTTGAGAACTTTACGATACATGTAGCAAATGGTTACTATATCAACTTTACGGCAAGTTCACACCAATCTGATTGAAATTAATTCAGTTATCTTCACTAAAAGTCGTAAAAATAGACCTTCCGTAACTACTTTGCCAATTATCGAAAACACTCTTAATCCCCTCAGACGCCATATTCAGAATGTTTATTTCTTAATTACCTATATACAGCCGGCCTGTGTATTCATTAATGCCTGACTGATTCCTTAATCCCTCTAATTAAATAAAACAATTGACTAGGGAATAATTTGTTTCGTAATTCATTGTAATTTAAGATCCAATTTAGAAATTTGTTTCAGAATGTACCGTCGATCTCGTTTCTCACGACAGCAATTATGTTATAATACCCTATAACATCGTGTGCAGTCCAATCGATTCGAGATACATTTTCGTCAAAAGAGTATTGTGGATCTAATTTCCCCAAGTAAAAGGGGAGAGGGAAATGGGGTTTAACGTCCACTTGACACAAACTAGGTCATTTCGGGACTAACATTTGGTTTAATTTTATTTCAATAATTCACTTGCGCGTAGCGGTCTTTAGCAGTGGGAGGAAACCGGAGGACCCAGAGGAAAACCACGAGGTTCCCAAGAGTACAGGAGTAAAAAGATGTGGTTATGCAAAATGCATTATAAAAGTCAACTATGATTGAAAAGTGATTTGTAAATGAAGATCCGTTACCATCGTACGCCGGATTTGACTTCATTACTCTGAAATAGACCGTAAAAATGAAATACGAAAAAATATCTCAATATACGTTAGAATTAATAGTACAAATAAATTTTGTTGGTAACCATCTAAATGGAATAACAGACAGATTGAGAGGGGTCATCTAACTATCTTTGTGTATTATGCCAAGTAGTGTTGAGTAAAGTTATACAGACTTGGGGTCATAAATTAATTTACATCTCGGTGTTTGTTAGTGGGATTGTTAGTGGGATTAAGAATGCTGATTAGGTAATTATCTTTTTTACGCCGGCCAGATCAAAGACATCACTCTAGGTGGAATGTGTGCGTAGTACCCACGAATGAACTAATGGTAGAATCGTACACACACATATTAATTGTATAAAATAATTAAGTTTTACTCAACAGTTGTATCCCGGTTGTACGTGGCAAGGAGTAGGGTCGCCTGTCCAGTCTCGTGGGTTTTCTCCGGGGCCTCCGGTTTCCTCCCACTGCTAAAGACCCCTACGCGCAAGCGAATAATGTAAATAAAATTAAACCATATGTTAGTCCCAAAATGACCTAGTTTGTGTCAAGTGGACGTTAAACCCCGTTTCTCTCTCTCTCTCTCTCTCAACAATTGTTTATAATTATTATTTACCCATTAATTATTGCTCACCGGTGTTTTTGTAATCAAGTAGCCTCGTTTTATTTGTTGACTGGCGTTTAAACAACATTTAATTGACTTGATATGAAATCTGAATATAAATTATTCGAGGGATAAACTTTTGTGATGCGATTAGGTTATCTTCTTTATAATAAAAGTAATTTACAATTGCATTGACAGTTTAATCACTCACCAAACGGCATCAGGACACTCTGCATATGATCAAGTGTATTTGATATTCATGTCCATGAATCCCATGCAATTTTCGCGCCAAAGTTTAACATCAGTTACTACGCTCATAGTGCATGGAACCGTACATGACAATAAGATTCCCAGCGTTGATTGGCTGAGAAATGAGGGTGATCTATGCATGGTCATCGGAAAATTCCATATTCGCTGTGAATTTCAAACAGAGTTACAATAAAAGTTGTTCTTTGTGTATAGAAATGGTTATTATTATTATATATACATGTAGCTAATAATGAATATATCGTCAATTGACTGGCACCATTTGTATTTCTGTACTTATAGAGAATAGTTTGGGATATCAAGTATTACAGGGTTATCCAAATTACCGGTAAATGCGCTAATTGCTTAGGTCGTCTTTAGTTGTCACGGGGCCTATTTAAACAGTGGCACCTTAAATGGATCTACAGCATGATACGGCATTTTAAATTCACTCTAAAATATTCCAATCACAAATGTCTAATCTATAACAACGCAAGACGATAATTTGGTGATTATGACTATGCCAGTCACATATTAATTGGACACATACACACTTGTCAACTGGTGGTGTGTATTGTATAGATAATGTATATAGATGTGTAGTGCCTGTGACGTCACCAGCCAATCAATCGGATTAAGGTTGTAATTGAAAATTTGAAAACCGCTTTTGGCTTTCGGATACTTAAACCTCAATAGCTGAATTAATTTTAATCAGATTGGTTTGAACTTGTCGTAAAATGGATATAGTCACAAATTGGCTATAAGTACATTCAATTAAGATTTTTAATCTTATGTGGTCTTTAAACAACATCCTGAAACCATGTGATTTATTTGTAATAAGGCTTTATGAAGGTAACTAAGACATTTTTTCTGTAATTGTTTACAGATCCAGATAGACTTGAACCATTTTTCTTCACAGCTGTGCCAGTTAATGTTCGTAAGAAAAGAATTGCAGGTAAATTTTTAATTGTCCCCCGCCTTTCGAAGAAAGCAGGGGACTATTAAAATGGGTTCGTCCGTCTGTCTGTCTGTCTGTCTGTCTGTCTGTCTGTCTGTCTGTCCGTCTGTCTGTCCTTCTGTCTGTCCGTCTGTCTGTCCGTCACACTTTTTGGGACACAATAACTCTCTTCCTAATTGAGCTAGAATGTTCAAACTTGGTGTATGTGTTTATTAGGTCAGTGCCTTGATGGAGTTCGAAGATGAGCATTTTCCGCTTAGGGTAAGCAGAGATAAGCAATTTGATTGGTTGATGCTTTGGGACACGATAACTCTCTTCCTAATTGGGCTAGAATGTTCAAACTTGGTGTATGTGTTGATTAGGTCAATGCCTTGATGGAGTTCGAAGATGAGCATTTTCCGCTTAGGGTAAGCAGAGATAAGCAATTTGATTGGTTGATGCTTTGGGACACGATAACTTTTAATTGAGCTAGAATGTTCAAACTTGGTGTATGTGTTTATTAGGTCAATGCCTTGATGGAGTTCGAAGATGAGCATTTTCCGCTTAGGGTAAGCAGAGATAAGCAATTTGATTGGTTGATACTTTGGGGCACGATAACTCTCTTCCTAATTGAGCTAGAATGTTCAAACTTGGTGTATGTGTTGATTAGGTCAATGCCTTGATGGAGTTCGAAGATGAGCATTTTCAGCTTAGGGTAAGCAGAGATAAGCAATTTGATTGGTTGATGCTTTGGGACACGATAACTTTAGTTCTAATTAAGTGAGATTGATGAAACTTGGTGTATAGTTTCATTACAGTAATACCTTGACTAAGTTTGATAATGAGCATTTTCTGCTCAGGGTAAGCAGAGCGATACGCAATTTGATTGGTCGAGACTTTGGAAAACAATAACTCTCCTACTTTGATTGTCCCCCGCCTTTCGAAGAAAGCAGGGAACTATTAAAATGGGTTCGTCCGTCTGTCTGTTTGTCTGTCTGTCCGTTCCGCTTATGGTAAGCAGAGATAAACAATTTGATTGGTTGATCTTCGAATTGAGTAAATGTTCATGCTTATTGTCCCCCGCCTTTCGAAGAAAGCAGGGAACTATTAAAATGGGTTCGTCCGTCTGTCTGTTTGTCTGTCCGTTCCGCTTAGGGTAAGCAGAGATAAACAATTTGATTGGTTGATGCTTTGGGACACTATAACTTTAGTTCTAATTAAGTGAGAGTGATGAAACTTGGTGTATAGTTTCATTACAGTAATACCTTGACTAAGATCGATAATGAGCATTTTCTGCTCAGATTAAGCAGAGCGATAAGCAATTTGATTTGCTGAGACTTTGGAACACAATAACTCTCTAATTATTTTCCTATTTCGGCGGGGGACATCAGCCTCACTGTTGGCTTGTTAAAAATAAGATTACAAATCAAATGAACTAAGGCAACTATTTTTCTCTCCATTGACTGTATGTAAAATCTATGAAATATCTTGTTCTCAGCGCTCGAAATTAATCACAACAAATGGAGAAAGTGTGGTAAAAGCCGACGTAACCCCCATCTGCCACGGCACAATTCATTTTTTATGCGCCCACATTGAAATGTCGTTGTATATTGTCGTCACCCCCATCCGTACGTCCGTCGGTCCAATCGTCCACAATTGCTTGTTGACGCTTTAGAGGCTAAAGTTAATATCCGGATGACTTTAAAGATACATTATGGGAGATTCGATAACGAGTTGACAGTTCTCACTATGATAGTTAAAAACTAGATAATGTAAAGACAATTTGCGGAAAATTTCATTCAAATTGATCCACTATGAACCGAGAACTAAGCGGTTGAAATTTCCAGCTAGCCTTGATCATCATTACTAAAGTCAGTACGATAAACAGTATAGTCTTGATTATCCGATTAAATGTTAAATCGTGAAGGAAAGTTAATGTCTAATTAATAATTTAGATAACATTTCCGGTCTAAAGAAAGACATGTAATATTCAATTTTAACTCTTGCATATTGTATGATTAACTTTATACACAGTGTTTAATGTCATGAGACGAAGAAGCCTATTGATTTTTCGCGATATCCAATAACTCTAGTTGACTGCCCGGACAAATTAGCTGCTGTGGGCATAAGTTTCGTTGCCTGGCAACCTATCTTTTTTGCCGTCGTAGATCTTGTGATCCTAATAATGACTAATGTACCAGTTATAGAATAGTACCAGGAGGATGTCATCTGACCGTTAATAATGTCAATACATATTTTGCTTATTGCAATTATCGAATACACTTTTAACCCATGTGCTGTAGGCCTATCCATGCTTTATCATTACAGTGGTTTTATTTTTATATGCCTACATTTTCATGTGGACGTATATTGTCGTCGCCCCTGTCCGTTCCGACACTCTACAGGTCACAGTTCTTATGCGATTTTGACGAAACTTGAAATATAGGTTTATCTCCAAAAGATCTCGGCTGCTTTCAATATTGGCTTATATCGGATCAAAACTTCATGGATAATGGCCCCTGTTTGTACGAAAATCACGTTTTTAGCTTGTGGACCCTATAGAGGTCACAATTTTTATCTGATTTTGTTGAAACTTGAACCGTAAAAGTTCATGATATTTATTTTCTTGCTATTCTTTTAAACCAAACCAAAATTACATAAAATAGATCTGTTCCAAACAAACAATAATTTTAAATTCATTTCACAAACTATTTGCGCGTATGGATACACGAAGCTTACTTCCACTTTTTTTGACACTCATCTGACATCGATGCCTTCTCACTCTAATTCTTATCATTTTTGATTCCATAATTATAATGGGGATTAGAAAAATAATCATCGATAACTGGAAACTAGATAGCATTGGTTATGAGTTACAATCCGACGACTAATTTTGTTAAACGTATTTACTGCAAAGTATGCTGTGAAGTACATGTAGGACTATGAAAAAAAAGACTATGAGAGCCTTTTTAAACAGTTGTTTTCTTTTTTTAGTAAATTAATTTGCAGAATATTGTAAACTACAATAATAATAACTATAATGGTATATGTAATACCACTTACATTAGTTTTGTTTATCATATGTATAATAAATAAATTTATACATCTTGAAAAGTTAAAAAAAAAAAGTAATGATTTTGATGTACAAAAAATGCTGTGGTGCCGTAGCAGTTCCATTCCGCCACGGCATTTTTCATTTATTATACGCCCACACTTTTATGTGGACGTATATTGTCGTCGCGTCTGTCCAGACATCCGTCCGTCCACAATTTGTTTTTATACGCCCACATTGAAATGTGGTCGTATATTGTCGTCGCCCCCGTCCGTCCGTCCGGCGGTCCAGTTCTGATTGACTTTAAAAATTTATACACAGTGTTTAAGGTCTTGAGACGAAGAAGCCTATTGATTTTCAGCGATTTCCGATAATTACTGCCAGAGTTACATGTATGGCCTTTGATCGCTTTGAAAAATTTTGTGGATGCTCTAGAGGTCAAAGTTAATATCCAATTGACCTTAAATGTATACACAGTGTTTGAGGTCATGAGACGAAGAAGCCTGTTAATTTTCAACGATTTCCGATAATTACTGCCAGAGTTATGGCCCTTGATCACTCGAAAAAATCTTGTGGACGCTCTAAAGGCCAAAGTTAATATCCGATTGACTTTAAATTTATACAAAGTGTTTAAGGTCATGAGACGAAGAAGCCTATTGATTTTCAGCGATTTCCGATAATCACTGCCAGAGTAATGGCCCTTGATCACTTCAAAAAATCTTGTGGATGCTCTAAAGGCCAAAGTTAATATCAGATTGACTTTAAATTTATACACAATGTTTAAGGTCATGAGACGAAGAAACCTATTGATTTTCCGATAATTACTGCCAGAGTTATGGCCCTTGATCACCTCAAAAAATCTTTTGGATGCTCTAGAGGCTAAAGTTAACATCCGATTGACATTAAATTGATACACAGTGTTTAAGGTCATAAGATGATGAAGCCTGTTGGTTTTCAGCGATTTCTGATAATTACTGCCAGAGTTATGGCCCTTGATCACTTCAAAAAATCTTGTGGATGCTCTAGAAGCGAAAGTTAATATTAGATTGACTTTAAATTTGTACAAAGTGTTTAAGGTCATGAGACGAAGAAGCCTATTGATTTTCAGCGATTTCCAATATTTGCTGCCAGAGGTATGGCCCTTGATCACTTTGAAAAATCTTGTGGACGCTCTAGAGGCCAAAGTTAATATCCGATTGACTTTCAATTTATACACAGTGTTTAAGGTCATGAGACGAAGAAGCCTATTGATTTTCAGCGATTTCCGATAATTACTGCCAGAGTTATGGCCCTTGATCACTTCAAAAAATCTTGTGGATGCTCTAGAGGCTAAAGTTAATATCCGATTGAGTTTAAATTTATACACAGTGTTTGAGGTCATGAGACGAGGATTCCTATTGATTTTCAACGATTTCCGATAATTACTGCCAAAGTTATGGCCCTTGATCACTTTGCAAAATCTTGTGACGCTCTAAAGGATAAAGTTATCATCCGATTGACTTCAGATTGATACACAGAGTTTAAGATCTTGAGACGAACAAGTATATTGATTTTCAATGAATTGTTATGACTTGAACAGTTAAATCCATGATATTAAAAGCTTTGCATACAAAACGTTAGCATGGGGCAGAACTTTATAAAAACCAAACAAATTCTAATACTTTGTGAGTTGTTGCTCTTAATCAGATTTTAGTGTATTATAAATGTTTCATTACCGAAAAAAGTAAAAATATGCGACAACCCTTGTTGACTGCCCGGATGATTTAGTTGCTGTGGGTGTATGCTTCGTTGCCTGGCAACCTATCTTTGAACACTCTACAGGTCACAATTTTTATCCGATTTTGACAAAACTTAAAATATAGGTTTATCTCTCAAATATCTCTGGTCCTTTCGATATTGGCATGTATCGGTTCGTAACTTCATGGATTATTGCCGCTGATTGTACAAAAAAGTGGACACTCTAGAG